GCATACTTGGCCGCGCACCCTGCTTTTCTAACATTGCATTGCCATAGACGGAAACGAAGATCATATTCAGAGGAGCACCTAATTTCAAAATAGCCTATTTATAAATGAAATTTCTTATCAATCCATGAGTCGGAAAGGGGACTGGAGACGTCCAAAGTGACCTTTGTTATGCACCATGGTACCAGTTAATGGTGCATCATGCCATAACGCTTTAGCCTTTTCCTGAAGAATCTTTCTATCTGGGATTGTAAGTATCGATATACCTTACTTGTTCTCTATCTCACCTGGTTTGAAAGTCCTCGAGGACCTAGGTTGTAAATTCGGCTTGTATTCGTACCTCGGGCTTGGTGCTACTGTTCATCAATATGGATCGACACGCTATAGAATATGGGCTGACTAGATGGCGCCGTACTCTTTGATGGGCCGAGCGACATTCTATGGCGACGTTTCTGGAGCTTTTTTAAGTCTATGTATCCCAGATCAATAAACGAGTTCACCTTTCCTAAACGTTTCTGAATATTGGTCGTGGATCTAGTCATCAAGCTTTTTCAAAAGATGGATGCATAGCTACTCTTCAATGTTCATATTTATACGGCGAACCCGATAGATGCCGCAGAGCAACTGTGCTTCCAACGACTTCCCAGGTGCCAGATTGGGGTTAATCAGGGTCGACACCTGTCGTTGTATGGCATTGACAGACGGCCGTTCAGCAAAGAAAGGAGGAAGCAGACGGAGTCAGTGGACGGGGTCAGTGGACGGAGTCAGTGGACGGAGTCAGCAGCTGGCGAACGGAATACTCGTCACCCTACTCCGCCACCTGTCATCACTGTCATCACTCGCCTAATAGATTCCAGAAGCCTTCCCACCTTTTGTCAACGTTATGATTGTCGCTTGATTGAATGAGCCGCATGCCATACAGCATTTCCTTTTAGCAGCGACAACAGGCTGGATAAGAATAGGATATACCAGCGTCTCAATCTCTCCTTTCTGAACCTGTTTTGTTCTCTTCATCTATTTCCTTCGAACCTCTGTTTATGCGCACTGTTGTTGCCACGACTCGTAAGCTATATTCGTTTCTCGGTGATGTACCTGGTTGATCATCTCTTAGATGCACAACTGGGATAGTGCTCTTACAGATGTCGTGGATATTGCACCTAATCTCAATATGATAAAAGGCAAAAGATGGTCACGCGCATATTTTTCTTGCAATCTCACCAGTCTGGTCGCTACTCTTGCAATACTGTCGATATTCACAGTAATTCCACTGGTTTGCGTAATTAAGAGAGAAACATTTACTCCAATGGAAGTGAACTTGGCATCTTTTCATCAAGGTGCTCGGGTTATTGCCCAGTATACATCGTCTCCTCGAGGCTATCCTTGGAGGAATTTGCTATCCAGCAAGACTTCTGACTCACCCGAGATTCTCCTCAAGGAGACAGTTGACCATCAATACTGTTGGGATACTCGAGGGCGGCTTGGCATATCCCTTTCTCAGTTGGCAACGATCCATAAGATTACGGTAGAGCATAGCCGCCGCGACGCAACGACGGTACCCAAATATATTCGAGTTTGGGCTATTAATGGAGTAGAAAGAGTAGATCCGTCACATGCTCCCGCAGGTGGTCTCCCTTTCGGTTCTAACGCTAGTCCCAGATTGCCTTTCATCTCCCTCATTGCATCATTCACTTATGATGCGGCGACAGCGGACCCAGCTCAAAACTTCACTTTTTCAAGCGTGTTTGGGCCAATAAAGGAAGTAATTATCGAGCTAGTTGACAATTGGGGTCCCTCAAAATCGATGTGTTTATATGGACTGAAAATATTTGGTACACCCTCACACTGATTGGTAGCTCATAATTTCGAAACCCTCTACGTCCGCTAGTCTCTGTAATCTCCCTATTTATTGCCATTCTCAGTATCGAGACCCGTTCAAATAGTACATATCGTCCGTCTTGCATGGGACAACTACATATTTCGATGACCTATTAACCATATTAGACATATAATTGACTAATGATAAACCTATAAGTGAAGCGCAGGTCATGCGTAAGGTAGACCATCAACAGACTAAATCCTGTGCACCCGATAACATCAAATATGTGGCCCATCTAGATAATAAAAGACCTTCATCACCAGCCATTCTATTGGAGAACTGGTACCGAGCTACGCCGTCCTCTGACTTCTGAGCGCTAGAAAAGCTCAAAGAATGGTGAAGCCGATCTCTTTGAACTATGGTGAACGTCATTGTTGTAGGTGACGGTCTTAGCCGAATCTAAAGTGATTCTAGCGGGCCGGATCAAAGATTTGTTGCCACCACGTGCCAAGTCAAACCTTCGCTTGTTGGAAGCGACTCAACCAGGTGCTCTAGATTAACGCTCAAACCATCACCTGGTAGGCGAATATGTATCAACGTACGATGGCAAACAATGATTTAACCTGATATCTCTAGCTCTGCAAATCTACACAGGGTGCAACATGGGTAGAAGTCCGCTGGTTGATCACCTTCGTGACCGCATTCATGGACTACTGTCTCCATACTCGACAGAAGATTTTGTATGGTTCTTCATGATAGCCATAGTGGAAGCGCTACTTGTCCTCGTATACCATCTACCTTCGCTACCTCTCGAACGTCCATCTCGCACAAGTAACGGCATACTGCCCGAATGTCCACTGATTTACAGGCATATTCGTGAGGTGACCCGTTCGGCAAGCTAGAAACTCTTATATGCTTATACTTCATGAAAGGAACGATTCGGCAAAACAAGTTTGGGACTATCTCGAGATCGTATATCAGGCCGTGTTGAGCACCAGCTTCAATATGACAATCGCATCTCCCGAAAGTCTTCTGTGCCTATACTCGAGAGAAAGTCTGTATATTCTCAATATATGTCTAGTTTCCGTCATATGCACAACCCTCGACCACCTCATGTATTGGGATCTGGAAATGACTTTACGACTGCCAACCTGACTGCGCCTTTCAATCTCATATTCACTGGCAACACAGGGATCTTACGTACTGCGAATCAGCTGCAGCCTTTAGGACCAAAGAAACAAGTGAGGTTCGACCTGAAGCCAATGCCATCCGAACGTAGCCACCCTACGGAAGAACCCAACAATATAACCGGTGTGTAAGGTCTTCGGATTGTTGTTGGGCGCTATACTAATCACGTTTGTAGTTGATCAAGTTCCATGCCGTCATAAACGCAAGCGTCAAGGATCAGTATTGAACGGCATCACCCAAGCTGATATTGGTAGGAAGCGACGTCGAATTTCTATCCATAGACGATCTCTTGACGAAGATTGCCCTCTCGATGAGCATTCTACTCTTGATGAGAATTCTACTCTCGACGAGAATTCTACTCTTGATGGAGACTCCGGCTTTTCAGATAACGAAACGTCACATGCCTCAGAAGTCGTTAACAGATCAATTGGTTCGATGTGGGTGGATGGGATGTGGAGGTTTCAAATTGGGGTTGATGGCCTGAAGGAAAGACTCTGCCACGTCACCTGTATCCGAAGGCCTTCAAATACAGTGACTCACAAAACTGTTCCAATGTTCACCACTTTTCACTTTTTCATAGAATACATGGCTTATATGATTAGAT